TGTGTCTCAGTCCGTGATGACGTTTCTACTTAAGAAACAAGGCCATGACATTATTGAAATGGGAATCCTGTTAGGCCACTGATTGCTAATACAAGGAGATGAATTTGTCCCTTAGCAACAAACTCCCTGAGAAGTAAGGAAGCTGCTGTTCTCCAAGATCTGTGCAATTTATTCTTTGAGACTGGAGCCTAAGGGCAGTAATTACATGCGCATATTATTCAGACTGGATTCTTTTCTTGAAAGTGTCTATTTAAATGACGCCAATTTGTAAGACTATCTCTGCTACCTGCTCCTAGCCTCCTGCCTCAGAAGGCCCAGCTCACTCCCGTGGCCTGCCCTCCTCCTGCCCATGCCCTCTCACCTCTCCCCTTGCGCCAGCCCAGCGCTGAGCTGACCCTTTAGCGAGCACACGCAGCTCTCCAGACAGCCTGGAAACAACTGACTCGCTCTGGAAGTGCTTGACTGATGTTCCACTGCCGTAGGCAGAAAAAAAGAGAATAAAGCAGCTTGCTGCATAGCTCACAAAAAAAAAAGGAAAACAGCGCTTTGAAAAACGGCTGATAGGCCCTCCACCCATGCCTTTGTGCTACCCACATCAGTCTAAACACACGGGTTCACACCCGGGCGCCTAGATCACACGCTGAACTAAAGGCACAGTTGCAAATGAGAGGGGTAATTTCAAATTAAACAAAATATCCTTCTGAGCTACAGTACTAGCATTTTACAACAAAAGCAATGCTGAAGTTGCATGACCTCCCTGATGCAATCCAGTGTCCTTCACTCCATCTCCTCCTGCAGTTCTTACTCTTCTGCAATCCCTCATCTGGCAGAAAGCTAGAAGAACAGGATGGGACGGGACAGTTTTCTGCTGAGTTTCTTTCCAATGAGTTTGGAACTGTTGGGTTGGTTTAGGGATCTCAGATATTAGCCAACACGGACCTTGTGGGTTAAAAAACGGGAGGGAGGAAGGAAGAGAGGTGAAAATGTCTGAATACAGCCTCCATGACTCCTCTTGTAGAGACAGAATTAATTAAAGCATTTCACATTTCAACATTTACATTAGACTGAGTAAATTTCTAGCATAATACAGAAAGTACATTTGCAGCCCATGAGCCACTTGAAAAGATGAATCATGACAGTCAAACACACCTCTATATCCTTCCTTTCCAAGGTTCTTGCTTTATAATCAGATTTATACACAAATAGGCCAAATAGCTGAGACAGTACAGCTCCATCCTGTACAATGAAAGCAACACACCAAGTCAGTGAAGCTTCAAGGAAGTCACTTTTTTCTAAATCTCAGCCCTCTGGCTTTTCACCACCTGGACACCAGTTCTAAAACGATGACCTCATCATTTATCATTTTACCTTTCAGTGCTTTACTTAATACATGACCTGCTCAGTAAAATATTTGCAGACTTGGTACTCTGGTACTCTATCCCATTACAAAGGCACGCATAACATTTCACATCTCTTTCATGCAGGTGGTCCTCTGTTCTAACTCAAGGCCAAACAGAATATAAAGTTAGGCCAGTTCAGCAGTATAGGTGAAGGCATCTGAACTGAGGGGAGGGTGTACGGTAACTGCAGATGCCAAGTGTGGCTATACATTTCAAAGATAGTGCTAATTTATTTATTTGGCTTACAGTGACCGAATCCATCTGTCCGGTACAGATGATCAACCACAAGACGTCTAGGAATCACTGTGAATCAACATTTTTTTTGTTAAAATTGTTCACATATGTACCAAGGAGCCACAGAAAGGTATATTAAAAATGGTCCAGTTCTTTCAGGCAATTCCACCCCATTAAATTTTATGAGTACACATGTCTGAGAAGGAGGAGAAGAGAGGAAAAGAAAAAAAAAAAGTATGTATCAGATACTTTTATGTTTCCAGTTTATTTTTAGAAGGTTTAACAGTGCAAAACGTAATGCCTTTTCAGTTCATTTCTCCAGTTTTTTCTTCGTTCCAAGAAAATATTTCCTGTGCTAGATGATCTCTCTCTCTTTCTACATAGTTTTATACTGGATGATCTAGCTGTAAACATCTTCAGACACAGCAATTCAGATTTACAACCAGCAAACAGAAGGTATCAATGCAAGTATCTAGACATAGGAGTTACAGTACGTATAGGCAGGAGGCATTTCTTTTCAGGTTACTTACAGAACACATTTGTGCAACTGGTTTTGATTTCTATTTATAATTCTCACTAAAGAGAGAGATGTGAAGCTTGGTGCTTGTGGCACTCAGCACTGATAGGTTCCGGGAACGTTGCTCCCTCCACAGAAGACACTGCAAACTGTGGGGACTGTCACATACAGGTCTCTCCCAAAGGAAGAGTTGCCTTTCCAAAAAAGAAAGGCATCAAAGAGGAGTTCAGACGTTTTCCTGTGCAGATCGCTAGTTTTTGGTTTTGTTTTTTTATAACAGTCCCCTGTGATTCCAATACCGGGCTTGCTTAAGCAAAGACTGTCACAAGAGCAAAAGGGCACATCCAAAGACACGCAGGTGACAGAATCTGAGAGTGAAAAGTATTTTACAGAGCCCCTTATTATGAAAGGTTGCTAAGGAAACTGTTGAGTCCAAAATGACTTACTACTCTTTCTCTTTTTTTCAAAGACTCAACTATTGTGCTCTCAAATTAAGATTTGGCTTTGGCTTTTAGAAAGATGTGAATAATAATAAAACCATATTGCTGCACATATGACATGATTAAGAAGCTCTCTGGGTTATATACAGAGGAAATGTCTGAAAAGGCATTGGCTGACACTTATCAAAAATTTGAAAATGGAAATTACAGCAAAAGGAAGTAAATTGGCCAAGGATTTTAAAGGAAACAGGATATAATGATTAAACAGATGACAACAAATTAAAACCCCAGGTCAGGAATCTATGCAAAAATCTCAGGAAGACAGGCTTTTAAGCTGGTGACATCATATTAACGCATGTCCTGTGTCATCCAGACATATTCTGGAGGTTTCGTTACAGATACAAAGTAGATGATTTTGAACTTCTTTGTTTTAGTCTGTTACATACTACTGACTTCTCACGCCTTTGCAAATTAGTGAAATAAGTCTCCATTCATAATACTATTGCTCAAATCCTACAACGCTGGAAGGCCATGCTTTCCAGTACTAAGCTTATTGTCAAGAAAGAGCACAGCATTTTTCCAGACATAAGTTAATAGTGAGTCATACTGTTTGTGTTTCCCAAACAAATTAATAATAACAACTAACAATTCATTCCTGAAGTTCCTGCATGCCCCCAG